CCCCGGGACACACGTGGTAGAAGAGAACCGCTGCTCTTTGTCGCCTGCTCTCCACGGCATGTGTGCACCCGCATACATACACACAGGTGCACACAAAATAAAAAGTAAGATGTAACACATGTGTTTTAAAGAAAAGCAGGGGCTGGAAAAATACTTAGGGCTTGAAAAAGTGCTTACTGTGCTTCCAGAGAACTCAAGTTTGGTTCCAGACAACCACGTCAGGAGGCTCACAAATGCCTGTAACTCTAGTTCTGGGAGAACTGATACCCCTTCAGGCCGCCAAGGGCACCTGACATACACACACAGAGATACACACGTACACATGATTAAAAAAACAAAATCAAAATAAAAGCAAGAATTGTGTCTTTTTAATCCTTGAGTCTCAGACAGCCCCTGACCTTGGATAGACACTGTAAATGTTCACCTGACACCTGGGAGTCTTTTCTTGGCCAGATTCGTGGTCATCACTGGGCCTCTTGTGACTAGTAGTCCTACTGGATGAGCTTGTGGGAGAGAGTGAATCAGGAAGGAAGGCCAGCCAGTCCCAGAGCCAGCAGAGGGAAGACACTGGCTCCACCTCAGCCGTGTGCCAGGACCTACCTTTTGGACTAGAAGTGGACTCCTTAGAGAAGATGAGGCACATTCATTTGGCTGCAGACCACAGTCACCTTCATGCAAGCTGGTACTCCAGCCCTGAATTGTTACTAACCAAAACATTTAGGGGGCCAGCAACATGGCTCAAAGGTGCTTGCTGTCCAGCTCTGGAGACCAGAGTTCGAGCTCCAGAATCCCACAGAGATGGATAGCACTAATCCCACAGAGGTTCTCTGGCCTCCACGTGCATTTTGTGGTTTTGTGGTGCACATGTGCATGCCCATATGAAAGCATGCTAGGGCACACACACCTTTATTTTTTAATTAAAACCATTTAAGATTAAATTTATATTAAATGGAATTTTTTTGAGCTTTTCACCCTTGACCCAATATTTTTATACATTTCTGACTTTTTTTTTTTTTTCTTTTTTCTTTTTTCGAGACAGGGTTTCTCTGTGTAGCTTTGCGCCTTTCCTGGAGCTCACTTGGTAGCCCAGGCTGGCCTTGAACTCACAGAGATC